GTTTCAAAAGTACCGGTTTGGTACTGGTATCGGATAAAACCTAAACGATACCCATCCCTACTTCTGACCCCACATAAGTTCATCACTACTGAGTGGTGAAGGAAGAGTCAGTCAGAGTGCAACAAGCTGACATTTCTGTCTGATCTCAACAAATGACCGAAAAGGTGTATAAGTGACTGACCAGCAGATAATAACCAATCCCTGAGTTTGTGCCAAACGTGAATAATTTTCCTCAAAGAGCTGCTGAGACATCGGTCGTGAGAATGGGGCAGATAAACACATCGTCAACCCCGAAGCATATTTCCTCACACAGCTGTCACCGGCACGGAGGCATAAAAATGCAAATGTGCAAACAAACGCGCCACAGAGTCACAAGAGCGGCTTTTAATAGAGCAGCGCCCACTCATCAGCAAACAGTTTTACAGCTTCTTCAAAGTGACACTATTAAAGTTGATGCACACATTAGAGCTTTTATCATATTGATTCGCTGTTAAAAAAACTGGAGAAAATGGCCACGTGCGTCTTCAGAGACTTCCTGCGCCGAGTTTTTCTGTGTCAGCAGATGGACACAGCTGGATGAAACCGTTCCAGCTCGAGCTGGTGCTCAGCAAACGCCCACTCGTGCCACGATAATCACAGGACTGATGAAACGCGCGTTTCTATGTCGAAATAAAGACGGACATTCGTTTGCACGCGTGCCACAATCGTGAGGCTTTAACAAACGACTGCGTACGAGAAGAACACAGCGGCCTGTTATCGCTTTATCAGCTCCTTATTTTATCAAGAGAGAAGGAATCGACTTAAAACACAATCTCCTTCCTACTTTTAAGAAAGACCGTGCCAGGTCGGTTCTGTGCTGGCCTGTGAGCTGGTAGAGTAAACGTGAAGGGATCAGTTTCCCGTTTTCTTCTGATATCCCTTCTTTCCTGGCAGGCTGAGTAATTCTGCGTACAGATGCTCAAAAACAGCTGGTAGTGATTAGAAGTCTGAGTCAGGCTGTTTTGAAGGCTGATTTAATGATTTTGTTAATGTCTTTTACCCAGACAGTGTGTGTGTTTTTAGAAAACGCAATCGTTGGAGTTGACCAATAAAGCAGATTATAAATTTAAGATGAATGAGAGAGGTGCAAAGAGAAAATAAAACGGTCTAGCGCGATCATTTCTTCACCAACCTTTGACACGTGAGAGGTCTTGGTCTTCTTGGGGTCTGAGAAGGCAGAGAGGGGGATGGTGGGGAGCATGGGGTAGTCTGGGCTTGGCCTTGACATGGCCTCCGCCCCCTCGGGGACCACCAACACCTGAAATTCAAAAAAGAGGCTTTAATAGGTGCAAGCTCTAAGAACTGAAGCAAAACACATGTTCATTTTCCCTGATAGATTTATAAGTGGGCTTTATACTTGAGTTTGGAAAGAAAATCAAA